AATTAAAATGCTTTTACACAGTAAAAGAAACCAACAGAATGAAGAGACAACCCACAGAATGGGAAAAATTTTTACTAGTTACTCCTCAGACAAAGGACTAACATCTAAAATATATAAAGAACTTTAAAATATTTATACCCAAATTTAAAGACTGTGTTAGCTGCTTTTCTCGTTGTTGAGACAAAATACCTGACATCCAAAGTAAAAGGGGAAGAGGTTTATTTAGCTTACAGTCTGTAGAGGTTTCAGTCCATAATCAGCTGGCTCTGAGGCTGGGATGGCAAACAAGCATTGCAGAGGAGAAACAACATGTGCACACAAGGCAGCAAAGGTCACAAGAGAACCTTGAGAGAGTCTCCCTGCCCCCTTAATCTTATTTAGACTACTTAGGGCGGTAGCACTCACACCCTTAATCCTAGTGCCCTTGGGCCTAGTGTTGCATCAAGAATGGATTCCTGCTTCACAGATGATAGATCAAGCCTATGGTCACATGAGACTTTGGGGGGACATCTAGACCCCAACCCTAACAAAGACCCTATCCAAAAATGGGCATCTGAAATGAACAGACACTTCTCAGATAAATACAAACAGCAAATAAAGGCTGGGGATTTAGCTGAGTGGTTTCGCTGCTTGGTGCGTAAGCACAAGGACCCAAGTTCGATCCCCAGCACCAAAAAAAAAACCAACAAACCAAAAAACAGCAAATAAATACATGAAAAAATGTTCAACCTCACTGTTCATTCAAGAGATGCAAATTAAAACAAGGCTGAGATTCCATCTCCAGAAAGAATGAAGAAATTAACTGATAACAAATACTGGCAAGGCTGTGGGAAAAAGGAACCTTTCTCTGTTGTTAGTGGGAGTGTAAATTGGTAGAACCACTGTAGAAATCAGTATAAGGATGGGGATTTAGCTGAGTGGTGCCGATGCCTGCCTCAAAAGCACAAGGTCCTGAGTTCGATCCCCAGTACTGAAAAAAGAATAGAAATCAGTATGGAGATTCCACAAAAAACTAAAACTAGAAGTTCCATTTGACATAGCTGTGCCCCTTCTAGGAACCTTCCTGAAAGAGTTAAAAGCATCATACCACAGTCTTACCCATGTTTATAACAGCATCATTTGTGATAGCTAAATTTTGGAAACAGCCCATATGTCCATCAAGAGATGAAAGGATAAATAAAATGTGGTATTTATATATAATGAAGTACTACTCTGCCACAAAGAAGGATAAACATGAGTCATTTTTGGATAAATGGATATACCTCCTCGCAACCATTATGTTAAGTGAAATAAATCAGACACACAAGTTTAAAAACTGCATTGTTTTTCTTGTATGAGAAACCCAAAGGGTAAATAAGGAGCAAAGCAAAGGATAGATATTGGAAAACAGTAAGGACATGTTTAAATGAGAAGGAATAAGGGACAGGGAGGGGAAAAGAAAGGAAGACAAAAGAGATTTTTAAAAAACCAAAAGGGAAGGGAAAAAATGGAAACAAAGTTTTTGTAAACAGGGAAAATGAAGGGTTGAAAGGAAGGGAATGGGAAAAAAAGAATTAAGACATATTATGCACAGATACAAATCCCATATGATGAATGTGATCATTATATATGACAAATATGTACTATTAAAAATTTTAAAAGTTAAGTATTTACTCATAGAGCATGTCTTGTCTTAAAGCAGTTTCCTCATGAAACTTCACAATGAAAACAAGAAAATTCTGTTTTAGAAATTCATGTTTCTTCCTTGTTTTCACTTAAAAAAAAAAAAAATGCTGTTATGGTTTGAGTTCTGTTCTCCCAAAAGCCATGTTGAAGCCTTAATCCCCAGTAGCTATGAAAGTGACCTGCTTTGGAAGCATAGAAACAAACTGAGATTAGGGTGGGCCCTAATCCAATGTGGATGTGTCTTCCTAAGAGGAGAAGAGCCACAGACACTCAGCGAGAATGACATGCAATGAGGACAGAGCCTGAAGTGATTGACAACACCAGGAGCTAAGTGAAAGACGTGAACAGTTCTCCCCTCCAGATGTCAGAGAATATGGTCTTGCTGACAATTTAGACTTCTAACTTTCAAGACTGTGAGAGATTCATTTCCATTCTTTTAAGTCACCATGTTTATGATAACTTGTTACAGCAAGCTAGGAAACTAATACAGAGAACAAAACTGCCTGTTTCCTTTAAATTTTAGTGAAAATATCTAATCAGTTCATCAAACTAAATACAGATCTTATTAATGTATACTTAGAAGATGTTACTTGAAGACGATTTCTTCAAATCACTCTGTCTTATTAATGGAACGTTTCTCCAATATTGGTTAATAAAAGTTAAAATTTTAGTGAATATGTAAGCCCTAAAATTTCTTATAAAATTTAGAATGTCCTTAGTTTTTATAAGACTTAGAATCTACTGGTTTTTAATGGTGATTTCTGGATGAATTGCATTTCTCCATTTTTAAACATGAACTTCAAAGTTGTTGGGACCAATCAATTTGAACAAAATTTACTACCAGTGGAATAGTCAGACATATGAGGTAAAACAAATCTGGCATGAATATTCATGCCAGATTATCAACAAATTCATCATTCTTTAGATGATGTGAACTTACTATGAAGAAACTTGTTTTTAATCATTTGGCAAAAGCACAGTAATAATACCTAAAAGTCAAAGTACTTTACTTATATCAGTTTAATCCTCAAAATTACAATATTATTAGTAGTCAAATTTTAAAGATATACAAACTGGAAATCAAAGAATCAATTTGCCCAAGGTCACACAGCTAGTGAATGACACAGTTGTAGTTAATCAGTTGGTCTTAATCTGTTCTATGAATTTCTGTTCTGGATACCTGGCTTATAAATCATACCTGCTCAGTTCTAATTGCCTTTCTTACTCCTCAAAAGTTTTATTACTATCACTTGCAAATAACCCTGAACTAAAGGAAATAAATGAAACAGGACCTTGTATTAGAAATATAAATATTGTGGCTTATTAATGACTAGTCATAAATAGAATTAAATTAATAAAAGAGCACAAGATTAGGATCTTAATGTGAAAGAAGTAGAAATTAAAGTTATCTGACACAGATGTGCTGTGGTTTTAAAAAAAATAAGATATGCTATGTGAAGAAGTCAGCAAGGAAATGTTAGGAAAGTAAATTTGATACTATGTTGAAGAAATTTGATAATTTGGAGAAGCATAATATATGCTAACTAGTTCTAGTAATTGGAAAGTGGTCAAATTTTAGTAGTTTTAAAAATTGTTAAAGTTGTGTGTAGTGCTGCATGCGTGTAATCCCAGCCATCTGGGAAGCTGAGGCAGTAGGATTGCAAGATCCAGCCCAGCCTAGGCAATTTAGTAAGACTGTCTCAAAAAAAAAAAAAAAAAAAAAGGCCGGGGGTGAGGATGAGGGGGAGCTGGGACTGTAGCTTGTGAAAAGGCATTGGGTTCAATCCCCTGTACTACAAAACAGAACAGTTAAATGGTTATTATCAAACTAAGAAAATATTTAAATAATGTTTAAAAGTGTAATTCTGAGGAAAGAAGTTTTAGAAAGTTACTTAATAAAAATCACATAAAAGGTAAACAATTTCCTGCTCCTGAGAGACCTGTTACATTACATTGGATTGCTGAGGGATGCAGTGGAGTCTACTTCCTTGAAGATCTTTACAAATAGAGGACATAGATTATCAGCAGTTCAGAAAGGTTAGGTGTGTCTGCTGAAAGGCAGCCAGCCAGTGGATAATAAAGCCCAGTGACTGAATAATAATACGTCTGGTGTAACTGTGAGCTAAGGGCAACATAGCTGCTTTTTCTTTGAGGATCATAACTTGCTGTCCAAAATGTTGCAGAATAAATTAAATGTAATTAGACAAAATTTTCTCCAACAGGAAAGCAAGAATTAATTTTGATTCTAGATACTGAAAAATAACTCTGAAGCTACACACTGGGCTTTTTAAACATTTATAGTCTCCTTTACTTACAGAAAGCATTCCTCTAGGTACAATTTAAAAAGCAGTCATGATTACTGAGTGATCTTAGGCTTGAGTTGAATTAATACTAAGTAAAAAATTCTGAGCACATCTACCATTTCTGTGCATGTATAAAATCCTTTTAAAAATTCAATTTTAGTTTGCTCTACTTATATTTTTCAGAGCTTATATTTTACTTTGTTTTGCTGTACTTATGTCTATTTCATGAATGTGGCAAAGATGACAGATTTCTTCTTATTCTTTTTAAATATGGCCAATTTCTTTCTAAGCAAACTTTCAGTTTAAAGGGTAATGTTAATTCATTTAAATTTTGAAGATGTAACTGTGGTCCATAATCCTTGCCCAACTACTCTTCCAGAAGCAATAGTAGCTGCCATGAAACTAAGTAAAAATTCAATGAAAAAGTGTTCCAAAATCTTGGGAAGGCACCCTTTCTTATCCTTAACAATGTAGAGGCCAGGGAATTAGCTCAGTGTTTCTGCTGCCTGCTTCCTAAGTGCAAGGTCTCCAGTACCAAAAACAAAACAAAACAACCTTGTATTTTATGACACTCCTGTATTAAAAGCTTTCATTGAAAAAATCCGGAAAAAATGCTGGAATTAATGAAATAACAAAAAACAGCGCAGATAATACTAAATAAATGGAAAATAATTTATTCTCCAGATCTATTTACTATTTTGCAGTGATATGATCATATCGTTTATAATAGACCATATATATGATATATATATAGATAGATACATTTTCAACTACAGGTGTTTAGTTTCTGTTACTTAAATCCTAATTTTGTATTAAGGATTTAATGTTGCCTTATTCCGTATAATAATTCCAGGCAAGGGCAAAGTATCTTAATGTAATTTCTGACATGCAACAGTGCTAAAAAGAAAAGAAAGATAGAAATAGTTATGCCTATGTAAATCTCTGTTAAAAAGATTTTACACATTAAAACCCAAGATCATTCTACTTGTTTCTACATACCAATAAGAGAAAGCTTGGCAAAGATATTTCATTACTTGCCTCCAAAAAATGGTTGACATCCTCTGTGGCCATTTGCCAAGGTGGTCATTTCTCTGTGTTTGATGGAATTACAGAAGGGTGAGGGTTGTGCGGACTGATGAAGAAAAGTATTCTTGGTTTCTGGTATTTATTTACCTGGTCCTGTTAAAAAGGAAACGGATAAATTTACCAGTTTTGAACTGATAGCCAGTTATTCTGTGTTATTTTAGATTCCTATTTAAGAAAAATTTGAGATTTTTATGAAGTCTCATTTAGAGTCACACAAGTCTAGATGTGACGGCTTACTAAATTTATGATAACAGGTTTAAAAAAAAAAAACCCCAGCTGTACGAATCACCCAATTCAATTTCTATATTTTGCACTATAGGAAACTGAAATCCAGAGATTAAGCAACTCACCCAATATTATAGTGAGTTCATGGCAGACTCAGCCTGAGAAACCAGTTATTATTCCAAGTTTTGGGATCTTTCCTCTACCTGTCTCTCAACAGATAGAAGAGAAGCATCTTTGAGAAGAGAGTGGAAAGACTGGGAAGAGCATTAAAATAATGAAGCTAATTTCTGAGCCCTAAGCCTAGAGAGTTTTAGAAAAAGAAAAAAAAACACAGTAACACAATACTTAGAATGCTAGTATTCAGCAAAACACTTGCTTAATGGATAATTAAGATGTTGTTTTATTAAAAAATATTTTTATGACTGGTCACCATTAAATTTCTGAATTTCATACAGACTAACAATCACTTATTTTTTTCTAATTCTTTCTAGTGATCTATTATCATTTCTAGCAATGATCTATTATCCACATAGCAGAAGAGTGATACTTTAGTATTCACAGAGCAACAAAGTGATGCTCTATACAAGGAAACTGGGCTTAAAATCCTTCAAACATTTATGACACAATCAAAAGATTTATCTTTGCTTGAACTGTCTGAGATCCCAATTCCTTGCTGGCAGCCTATCCGAGCACTCCTCCTTTTGCTTGGGATTTCACAGCCTTAACAGCCATTATGTTCTTCCTCAAACATGGTAAACATCCTCTTGGTTTAGATGTTTGAGCTTAGTCTTCCCTCAGACAGGAACACGTCCCCAGTTAGCCACATCTGTTCCCAGTCACTAACACTCCTTTTCCTTGAGTGGCTAAAAGCTCCCGGAGACTTCTCTCACCATTCTTCCTAAATAACTTCCTCCTCCAACATTTATTCTCCTCCCCACTGGCCCTCATCTCTATATTAATAGGTGCTTCATTACCATTCATAGTATTTGTAATTTCTACAGATTATGTAGTTCCACAGTCTCTTTCAGGGCCAGAATGTTTTAGGATTTTTTGTTTTTCTTTTGAAGGTTATACAGTTCACATACTGTAATTATTTAACATCTTCCCCATCCCTATCCAAGAAGCCTGGGATGATATATATATATATATATATATTTTTTTTTTTTTTTTTTTTGTACCAGAGATTGAACTTGGGTCCTTGCACTTGCAAGGTAGGCAGTGGAACCACTGAGCTAAATCCCTGGCCCAGGGACGCTATATTAAAACCAAATATATTACTATCCCTGTAGCTAACATATATTTTCATTCTAAGTAGGATTTTAAAAATGATTGTAAGCAGCCTTATGGACTGTAAGTAACCCAAAGATTAGGTCTAGGTTTTACCACGATATAAGCAGCAAAATTTCGGTTTTCAGAGTTTTTTATTTTGGAAATGTAAATAAGGGATTATGGAACACAATATATAATAATTTGATGATTGCCTATCTACTCCATAGAATGTATACTTAAAAGAACAGAAATCTTTCTTTTGTTCTCTAGGCCAATCTTAACAATAATATTAGTTTAAATGGATGAATGAAGACTTTTGTAGGGATCAGTTTTTACATTTTTAACAAATCCTATTATATAGATATCTTTTTGTTCTTAAATAATTGGAGAAAAACTGTTGAAAAACGTCTTAAAAGCTTCTTACAATTCTTTTTTATAGTTCACTGGAAGGCAGAAGGACAGGAAAAAATGATAAAGAGTATTTAAATAAAACTATAGAAAACAATACTGGGGCTGTGTGATAGAGTGGGAAGAGTTCTTAAGTATAATTCTAGAGAACTAGGTTTGTGTCTTTGCATTGCCTCTATTCCATTACTTCTCTATCATGCATCTATCCATCCTCCATTCAAATTCTCTTTTTAACTTAGACATCTCACCATTTTGGCTTAATTCATTACCTATAAAATGAGAGAGTAGAATTCTTTGATGATCTGTAGCAGTTCTAACAGTTAGATGACTGTGGGCAATGACCAATCTGCCTACTCAGAGGTTGGCTAATCAGTCTGAAAGGTGATATAATCTTGTTCATTGCATCTATAATTAAAACAATAGAGACTTTTTAATAAAACCTATGCATGTTTGATTCCAATGGAATGACATATTTGCTAAATGTTTATGTTACAGCTAAACAATACTGAATTTTTGTGGGTTTTACATAAAAGTATGCCTAAAATAACATTTATTGAGCATTTGCAGTGTGCCAGAAACTATTTAGGCATTTACATATATTAATGGCACTTCTATTTGGTACTAGTATTACCTGCTGTGTCTGTGGTAGGTTTGGTTACTCTTCTTTTCCCCAATGCCTCATTAGAAAGTGTACCCCTCTCCAGGCTTTAACTTTGTGTTGGCCATCTGACTTCCTTTGGCCAACAGAATAATAGCAGATAGCATGGGGGAAAAAACCCTGAGATATAGTTGTGTAGTTGAGCTTGTTCCCTGGCAATTTTGCTTTTTTGTTCCGAGAAAAAAATGTCTCAGGTATTTTTTGGTCCAAGGAAGATGATAGGTATTAGTATAAACCTAGACCTATCATCCTGAAACCAAGTTCAGCTGTATCCACCCCAGATTAGACCTATCCCAGCTTATAGGAAAATACCCGAGCAAGAACAAAGATTTATTGTTGTATGCTAGTGAGATTTTTTAGTTGTTTGTTTTGTAGTAACTCCCTTCATTTTTACAGACAATGGAAATGAATGGCAGAGATTAGGTAGCCAACACAGAACTGCAAATGAAGTCCATGTAAGTCTGGCTTGAAAGCCCATATGTTCAACTCTTCTATTACTGAACACTGACAGTACACTGCACTTGGTATATTATATGATACTAAACAGTTTATTAGTATGCCTTTGGTTGATATTAAATTTTGTAAGTAAAGCTCATGTAGTTTTCAATGGACAAAGTTGCCTTGCAGTTTGGAATAAAATTTTTATCTTGAGAAATTAATAAGTATTAAAAAAGCACAGTGTTTTCTGGAGTTAGATTTATAGGTCTACATAATAAAATATATCTTGGGGATGCTGCCCAGCTCAACTGAGTAACAGTGGCCTTCAATACTGACTGCTCTGTTATGGTTCCACTCCTAGCCCGAGTTTATCAATTCAGGCATGAATATATGATCCAAGATGTCAGGTTTCTCTTCTAGTGTTTTCAAATTTAGACCCAATATCTGGGAGCCTCCATCAATGGGTCCATTCTGGAGAAGGTCGATTCTTCCCCACTTGTCATGTATCCATAAGATACTCCAGTAGTTTCCCAGAAAGTGCTCTTTTTGTATAAGCTTATAAAAACTCATTCTTCTTGGTGCAACCAAAGAAAGTTTATCAAAATAGGCTTATAAACCTGGTATTTCTGTTATAATTTAAAAGTGCAGAGAAAAGATTTCATAGAGATCAAATAAGGGTTGCGTTTATTTTATTTTATATACTACAAAAGTAATTTTTGCACCTTAGAGTTATTTATGATACATTCTCTTGATACTAGTTAATTTTTTTTCTATTTTTTAAAAAATACAGTCCATAGACTTTCAAGGTTCTGAGAAGAGAACTACTATTTTAGTAAAATTAAATAAAGTAGATTTCATTTGAAATCCTGTTTTATTTTATGTATTTAAAACATTTTATTTATAATGGTCTTTCTATATTCCTTTCAATATGCAAGTCAAGTGAATATATGGAATTATTTCTATCATTGATTTGCTCAGAAACTATTTATGAGAGTTAAACAAAATCCAACTGTTTTGGAAGCTAGGATATAGCAAGGACAATAGAGAGAAATGCTGTGCTTCATTGAGTAGTGATAAGAAAGAATATGTATAATATAATAAGACAATTTCAAAGTATTACTCGTAATAAACCAGGTACTTCTATTACAGTGAAACAGTTACATAAAATATGAGAATAATGAAGGCAAAATGCTTGGGGAAAATTTATGTGCAATCTTAGCCTATATGTAGACTTCAAAGGTGATATGTCAACAAATGCATGGCCTTAACCTGTGTGTAGACTTCAAAAACAATATATGAATGTATATATGGAGCCTGGTCAGACACAAAATGTGAAAGCAATGATAAAGTGCAACCAACTAGCAAAATTAAACCCATCTGTAAGAATCATAGAAACTTATGTACACAACAAACACTAAAAGTGTTAAAGAAGATATTGTTAAATAGAAGATACAATTTTGTGGGTGATCACAATAAACTACATATTTTCAATTAAAAAATAAAGTGCCACCACCACCACAATGACAGTAAAGGTAAAAGTCAATTGTAATCTTACCAATAATTTTACATCCTCACAATGCCAATAAAGGTAAAGGTCAATTGTAACCTTACCAATAATTTTACATCTACTATTATAATCATATAACCTCTTAATATTCCTTCACAGTGAGCAGGTGAGGAAATGGGAGCATCAGAGGTTTGAGAAAGGACAATTTTGACTAGTGGCAGAACCAGGCTACACCGGGTGTTCTTTATCTCCTAATTTTACTCCTATTATATTACATTATATCATCAAAACAATGACAAGTAGTTTCAACAACAGGCCGTGTTGAAATATCTTTTTTTTTTGAAATGTCTTTTTTATTTACTTCTGTGAACTATTTGTGAAGTAGGAGAGGAGGTACATTCCTGGGTCACAGAAGGTATTTGTAACAAATTAAACATGTTATTAGTTATAAGCTGAGATCACGAAAAAACCTTGGGATGGTGTGACAGACATGGTTCAGGAGGAATTCAAGAATACACTGCTAAAGCATATTTTTCTCAACCAGTAGATTTAACCACCTAGAACAGGAGTTGGCAAACTTCAGCCCAC